ATACTATATATACTATACTATATATACATCTTAAGATATACTGTATATACTATACTATATATATACATCTTAAGATATACTATATATACTATACTACATATAAATTATAAGATATACTATATATATATATATAGTATACTAGATATATATAGTAGATATACATGTATATATAGTATAGTGTGTGTATATATATCTTAAGATGTATACTATAGAATATGACTTATATACTATATATATATAGAGTATATCTTAAGATGTATATATAGTATATTTTAAGATGTATACTATGTATATATAATATTGTATATATATTTTTTAAGATGTATAGATAGTATATAAATCGAATATAGCTTATATATCTTTATTACTATTTTTTTCTCTAACTTCTATACAAAAAAAAAAAAAAGTTTCTGTTGGGCCCGGAACCGGACCGGGACCGACCCACTAAACCCGAGCCCATTAGTTCGTGGTCCCGGTTCCGAGCCGGTTCCAGCAATAAGCCCGCGAGGCCCAGGACCATTTAGGACCGGACCGTATAGGACCGGCCCACTTAGAACCGGCCCACTTAGGACCGGGCCCGGCCCACTTTCCACCCCTATGTCAAATGAGTAGGTTACAAGTTTGGCGACGAATTAAACGGTTGATTCAACACGTGAGTTATGATCCAACTTTTCTAAAGGTTATTCAGGTCAAAATGAGTTGGGTTAAGATAGATTAATTAGTAGTGTAACCTGAGTCTTTTATATCAAATTTGGACGTGTTACACTTTTGTTGAGTACCGAAGACTGGAGCTTCGTAACATGTTGACGAAGGCCCCCGAACTGAGGGTTTGGTCAGTAGAAGGGACGACTTTGTCTCTCTTTTTGTTTGGGGGAATAGAGCAGCCAAAGAATGAACCAAACCATTATGTTTAATGAACTTCTATAAAAAAAATTGACTTTTTCATTTACCGAAAAAAAGGTCGTCAAACTAAGCGTCTGAATAAAAGGACTCAATCCCCGTGAACCTGGTCTCCATCTTCGAACTTCTCGTTCGATGAGTCCCCAGGTCTCGCTGATTCCGTTTTCTACGTGAGGCTCTTATGCGATCTTCCCTTTTGTTCTTCTTTTCGGTATGCGCGCACCCTTTCTCCTATGAGGAAGTGACAATGACACTTTTATGTTCAACTTTGTCAAACATTGCCCATCAATGCAAGAAGAAACTCAGATAACAGAATTGAGAAGAGAGGAAATGAGAGCAACAACTGATTCCAATTGCTTAGAATGAATTATAGAAGAGATTCAACTCTATTTATCTAACCAACCAACTAACTAACTAACCGACTAATACAACTAATATCCAGCTGTACAAATTAAATCTAACTAACTATTAACTAAGATCAGAGGCGGATCCAAGATTTAAATTCTATGGGTTCAACCATTAAGGTTTTTAGTATTACATCATTATATTTTTAAAGTTATGAGTTCAAATTTATTATTTATTGTAATTTTAATAAATTTTTATACATAAATTTATACTTCGCAATAAAAGCATTGGGTTCAGTTGAACCCGTTGCAAGAATGCTGGATCCGCCCCTGACTAAGGTTACCAACTAACCACTGTTAATCATTTGTCAAAATTTGCTTAGATCAAAATGAGTTTCTTATTGTCCTCCTTGGAAGCTATATACTAGCAGGGGCGGACCCGCCTTATAGTAACGGGTTTAGTAGATTCGTTAAAAAAATTAATTATTCTCACCTGTGTTCTTCTTCAGAAAATCATGAAAGCAGTTAATATTATGAAACATGAACCCACTTGACACAAATGGAAACTGAAAAGCAGCGACAAAGAGGGTTCAATGACTTTATTAAAAGTAATTAGTTTTTTTTTTTTTTTTTAAATTCTCAAATTTGATTAAAAAAGAGCGTCAATGACTTTATTTTGAGGTCACATGATGAGCAAAAATGAGTAGTGAGCAAATTCTATTTACCGCTGCCGCTTATACAAGTGGCTACTATGCTTTTTGATTGAACCTACTTGTATAAAATCCTGGATCCGCCACTGAATACTAGTAAGGCTTCATTTGCTGTTATAATTTTAATATCTTAGATACCAATTTTCAGAAATAAAATCATCGTATATAACCTTAGATGGTTACTATAAGATTCACAATATGTTTTACAGCAGCTCTGCTCTTGAAATTTCATACCTTCAAATTAAACTTATAGCATGTTTCGTCAAGCTTTTCCCAAAAAAAGTATTTTTTTTTCAAAGTTGAAGTGTTTGATTAAGCTTTTAGAGGAAAAAAATACTTTTGAGTAGAAGTAGAAAAAAGTAGCTTATCTCCAAAAACACTTTTGAGAAAAAATAGACTTACAAGCATTTTTTAAAAGCTTGGTCAAATAGTAATTGCTGCTCATAAGTGTTTTTCAAATAAGTTTGTCAAACACAAATTGCTTCTTGCCAAAAGTACTTTTGAGAAAAACAACTTCTCAAAATAAGTTGATTTTTACATGCTATTAATTTTTTTGGTACAATATCTTCAAACTAAATAGTACACAAAAACTAGAGATTCTATTTGAGGTAATATTTCTTCAACTACAGATTCCCAGAAGTAGCATTCCTCAACACTGTTGATTTACTAGATATCCGAGGTAAGATTGGAACTCGAGCGTTATCTCTAGGAACAAAATATGCAGCTTATCTAGTGTTCAAAATATCAGAGAGGTACCATGGCCTTGAATCAACAAATGCAATGGTTAGATTTGTTAATCAAGAAAGCGAAGACGAGGCTGAAAAAAGAGCTACTACTGTAATACTTGCAGCAAGAGCGCCGAGGCATCTAAAAGAAAAATTACCAGAAAAACGAACAGATGGATGGTTAGAAGTAGAAATTGGAAACTTTTACAATGGTGAAGGAGATGATAATGGTGATGTAGAAGCTTGGTTGTTGGATTCTAGGCCTTTTCATGCTAAGTGTGGTCTTATCATCGAAGGCCTTGAGTTTTGTCCAATATGATCCATATTAGAATTACAAGATTCCGAATTTGATGTTTATGAGTTCTTATAATGACCTCAATTTTATACTACAATAATAACTGAGTTCACATGCAATTAGACAGTGGATTATATATATATATATAATTACTAAACCCGTAATCGACCTTCTAGATCCGCCAGTAAAATAGTCATGGAACATGTTGTTTATTACGGTGCAATTTTCACTTAATTCGTAATACTTCCTCCTCTTTTTTTTTGAGTTCATACTAATGCACATGATATTCACTTACCAACATACGACGACATTATATAAACGTTGTATAATGCAACTTAAATGGCGCAAATTCACTCACCGACATTTAAGTTAGATTTGAAATAAGTGTCACAAAGTTCAATATTGAAATGTCACATTAAAGTTCCGACATTTAAAATAATCTATATAACAAATTTCCTAAAAAAATAATACTCTCTCTGTTTCAATTAATTTCAAGGAGCACAGAGTTTAAGAAAAAAATTAATCTTTTCGAAATTTATGATTATAAACATGTCATAACATTCTCGTGGTTATAAAAGCTTGTCAATAAGGTAAACTGAAAAACATAAGTTAACTTGCTTTCAAATGTAAAAAACTAATACACAAAAGGTCTATACAGAAAATTATAAAGTATATAATAAAGGGAAAAATAAAAATGTGTCTTGTATGTTTTGCTAAACTTATCCACTTTTTTTCTTTATTCCAACTCCATTATTTTTAGTTTTCTTGACTATGTTGACCTGAGAAGAAATATATTAGAGTGGTTAGACAAAATTCAATCTTTTTAAAAGAAATAAGGCATTGCCTAGGAGTTGTATTTCATCAGAAAAGGTGGTTACACGAGGGGGACCAAACCTTACCTCCAAATTACAATCCTACACAATCATCCTATCCGGCCTATTCAACGTTACTAAGCTCACACAAAAGTTAGCCTTGTCGTATTTGGATCTAATCGAAGGAAGTTTCTATTTATCTAACAATATCAAGCCCTTGGCACAAGCAGGTAGATCCCGATAATTCAAGAAGATTGTTTCTGTCCAGTGGAAGATCCCAACTTGGCTAGAAACTCAGCCACTTGGTTGGCTTTCCCGTGGCAGTGGAGAATGCTGAAATTTGATTGTTTCATTTTAAAAACTACGTTTTCAATGATTCTCTGTAGGTTCAGATTATTGGTACTCTGCTTCTTTACCATGTCAACAATTACTCTTCTTATTCCAATTTATGTGACACTTTTCGTACCCTATGAAAGTATTACTATCAGTTGCAAAAATATAGTAGATGTTGTGTCCCAACACATGCAAATATAGTAGATGTTGTGTCCCAACACATGCACATATAATACCTTATAATCCTCAGCCACAAACAGAATCCTGGGAAATTGGGGTGGTCCAACAATACAACTCTTGAATCAACAGTAATTGATGCTTACTTTAAGGGGTTTAGGGGTTGTTTCCTATTTATATGAAGGGAAATTTTTAAATAAGCTGTATTCTGTGTAAATTCCTCTTATATGAATGCCTCAAGCCGGCTGCCTATATTTTTCTGTATTTTTTTAAAAATATTTCGGTAGTCAATAAACATAAAAAAGGACCTTTACAAGCTATAATGTTATGAATTATGCAATTGAAAACTACGTCAACTTATAAGCAAAATTTGTTGCAACGAGAGAATAATCGAAGAACAATAAAGAAAAAGCTACGGCTACAAGATAGAAAAGCTACGGCAAAAATTTAAATAGGGTTTTGATTGATACCCATTCAGCTGCATACAAGACTATATATAAGCCTTCACTATTCACTACAAGACAAGGATATATAACTAACTCTGACAGGACCTAAAGTGCCTCAACAGTGACAACTTACGGGCTAATATGTAATTATAAAAACCTATAATATAAACGAACGAGGGACTCAACTGTATAACTTTAAAAATTAACTCTGAACCTAAGTTAACCACCTATAACGGCTACATACAACCTCGCAAGCCTCCAGTACCATCGACGCACGCTTTCTTCATTTCATCTCACATTATTTCCCCCTCGTTAAGTACTTCCTTGTCCTCAAGGAAAGAACTTTGGAAAGTGAGTCTTTAAGGCTTGGTAGTCTTCCCAGGTTGCAAGATCAGATGGCAACCTTTCCCATTGGATGAGAACTTGGGCGACTGCTTTGTTCCCCTTTTGAATCATGCGCCTGTCTAAACTTTTGTGGGGCTGAGGGCAGTAGGGACTTGCTAGCTCTAGCACTGGTGGATGAGATATGGCCTTTGGCAGATCATGACATCACTTCAATTAAGACACATGGAAGGTGGGGTGTAGCAATAACTGGGGAGGAAGTGAAAGTTTGTACGCTACCTACCCCACCTTCTGCAACACTTGGTAAGGCCCATAATATTTGGCTGATAGCTTGGTAAAATGCGACCTAGACATAGTAATTTGCCTATAAGGCTGAATTTTCACATATACCCAATCCCCTTCTTGAAACTGTCTATCTGATTTGTGTTTGTTAGCTTGCTCAGTCATTCTTTGCTGAGCCCTTTACAAATGTTACTTCAACAATTGCAACTTGAATTCCCTTGTGACCAGGCTTTTGTCAACCTCCATGGATTCTGAATCACCATCTACATAAGGGAGGTGTAAGGGTGGTGGTTGTCCATAGAGTGCTTCATAAGGAGTGCACTGTATTGATAAGTGGAAAGTGGTATTATACCACCATTTTGCTGCAGCCAGATATTGGTACCAGTCAGTTTGAGAATCAGAACAAAATACCTCAATTAGGTTTCTAGGCATCTGTTCACCACTTCTATTTACCCGTCTGTTTGGGGGTGATAGGTTATTGAAGTGCTCAAACTTACTCCCATCATAGAGAATAATTCTTGCCAAAACGTGCCAGTGAAAACTGGATCCCTGTTACTAACAATGTCTTTAGGTACTCCATGTAG